GCCCGACCCGCCTCAGGAGGCTCTCTGGCGGCCACTGAGGGTGGTGACACCGCGGATGACTGGGGATGGAGGAGGGAGGAGGAGGAAGAGGAGGGAGGAGAGGGAGAGGAGGAGTGGTGGTATGAAGACAAGACAGGTTCAAAGGAGCAGGCTCCAGAAACAGGGGTTCTATATTTTATTTAACTTTCTCCGCTTTATATAAAAGTATAATTTTACTCTCTCTTATTCGTCGTTACCCTTTAGAACGCTAACGACCTTTTTAGTTAGAAACTACGGAACGGCTGCATCACAAACTCGGTTCTGGATAATTTTTTTGAAATTGTTCTTTGTTTTTCGGAATAATTTTTTGGTTTTTCGCGGAATAATTTTTTTTCTGTTTTTCGGAATAATGTTTTCTTTCTGGTTTTCGGAATACATTTTTTCTGGTTTTTCGAATTTTGTTTTCTTCTGTTTTTTTTTGGATTTTTTTGTTTCTGTTTTTCGGAAAAAAAAATTTTGGTTTGTTTTTTCAGAGGTGAAAGCAACGTTTTTTTTCTGATTATCGAGATACTTCGAACTGCCCTAACGGCTTCTCATCCTGGAGAAACCATTGCTACGCGTCGACAGATCTGAAGGTGCTTGTCCTTCTGAACAACCGCAAAGTCTCAGTGGGTCTGTGCGTAGAGTCGACCACGGGCTGAGATGATAATACCATTCTATATGATTTAACAGACGAGGAACTAGGTCTCCGCAAGTGTCTGGAAAGCCAGATCAAAGAAGGAAAAACTGGGGAGACTGAAACTAGAACAAGAGCTGCTATGTTTCCGTTTCAGTCGAACGTCGTCAGGTAAAGGAGGAATGAATGCGTCTATGTTGTTTCAAAATAAGGTTCTGAAAGCGCGAAAATAGAAGAATTTAGGTCCGAAAATGGAGGAAAGGAAAAGTTTACTCCTAGACAAAATAAATTTTTCAGAGGGATAATGGCAAGTGAGTGGGGGTGATAGAAAACAGATATTTCTTTGATATAAGAGTATATAAAGTTTATTTCTGTCTTATACGTTAAGTGAATTAAAATGAATGTTTTAAGGGATTTGGTTGAATTGTAAGCTTAATTTCTTTTCCGCCAGCCGGGCCGGGGGGTGAGGCCGACTGTCAGGGGCTTCAGGACCTCAGTCTGGTTCAGGAAGACGTTCCCGTCCTCCGTCCGTTCTTCATCAGCGTGGTGGAGGAGTCGGATCTGTCCGGGGAGGAAGACGAGCTGCGGCACGCTCAGCAGCTGCTGAAGGAGTACGAGAGGAGAGAGGGAGTGGCGGTGGCGGAGCTGGAGGGCGGCGAGGACGGTGGCGGTGGCGGGCAGGAGAAGTACGAGAAGACGAAAGCGCGCCACGGAGACGCCATCTTCTCCAAGTTCATGAAGAAGATCTCGCTGTGTCCTCAGCAGATCCTGCGGTACTGTCGCGGCGGGAAACCGCTCTTCATCTCCGAGCCGCCGTCCAACATGGCTCACGTGGTTTCGGCGTGCGGCCACTGCGGCGGGTCCAGGACGTTTGAGCTGCAGCTGATGCCGGCTCTGGTCAGCCTGCTGCAGAGGAGCGGCGGCGGCGAGGCGGAGCTGGAGTTCGGGACGGTGCTGGTTTATACCTGCGCCAACAGCTGCTGGACTACAGGATCCAGATCCGCTGTGGAGGAGTTCTGCTTCGTTCAGACAGACCCGGACCAGCAGCTCTTTAAATGAGCGACCAGGGTCGAGGATCAGTCGGATCCTGATTGTCCTGAATCCGTTTCCTCCTGGAGGATTTACAGACGCAGTAACTGACTGAAGAGTTTGTCTCAAAACATTTAAAAGTTCACTTTCAGCTACAAATTTTACCAAAAACTCTCCTAATAAATCCCAGTAAACTCCTTCCTGTGTGTTAATTTATACTTTTATCTGCGTATTCCTGCGACCGACTGAGTTCAGGTATAAATAAAGGATTTGAAGCAGGAATAATGACGATAAACTGCTCAATAAAACATCAAAATGTAGTTTTTATATGTTTTATAACCCGGCCTCCTCGTGCCTGAACCCGACCAATCAGAGGAGGACGACTACAACTCGTCTGAATCTCAGTGAGTTCTTTGACCCAACCTGCCCACAAACCATATCTGGAAGTTCAACTTCCTTCCCCGACCGAGCTCTGACCTTTGACCTCTCTGTAGTGAACCGCCACGAGAACCGAAAGTGCCTCGAACGTGTTCCCGCTGGTATCGATCATTTTCACAACTCACACTCCTTTAAAATGATTTATAGAAACACAGAACATCCGACATTTTCTTTTCTTTTTACTTCAACCTCACGATACATTTCTATCATTCAGTGTCTGAAGCTTCACACCAAAACAGGTCGGACAGCATTCATGTAATTCAGCCAAGGAAATGTAAACCGTACAGAGTTAAAACCAAGCTATAAAAATGTAAATAATCAGCTGAAGGACTTTAGTTTATCCTGGACCTGATCCAGAGTATCAAAAATAGATTTCTTAATCAATTAGCCAATAAATAATGACAGGATTCTCTCGTTTGTGTGCGACTTTTAGCCTCTAATGACGTTACTGATTGCTAACGTTCACTTACAGCCCTTTTTTTTTTGTTCCAATTCGGTCACGAAAAGCTACAAAAATCTTTGGTTCGTCAGTGAAAAACTTCCTGAGAGACGAGGACGAAACAGTGACGTGAAAAACCCTGATGAGACGAGCTCGTCGGAGGCTGCTGATTGGTTCTCAGGCACTTGGTGCGCTCTGTGCAAACGTACGCGAGCGCCGGCGTGTTTGTGTCCAGGAAGCGAACAGTAGAAGAAGAAGAAGCAGCGGGACTACTGAGGGCCTCCACAGAACGGTAAGGCAGCGTCGCCGGACTTGTGATCCCAGTCGTACTGGTGGAACTGGTCGAACTGGTCGGGCTGGGCGCCGCCGCTCAGACCGCCGATGTCTCTGTCGATGATCTCGTTCACTGCAAAACAGAAGAGGAAAAACGTTTGAGAAATTCTACCTGATAAAGTTGGAAACAAAAGATTCTCTGAAAAGATTTAGTGGCATCGAGTGGTGTAGTTGCAGATTACAACCCCCTCACATCACCCTCTCAACCCGAGTGTGTTGGACAAACTACGATGGCCACGAAACGCATGAAAGATAAGTTCCCTATCTGGAGTCGGTGTTTGGTTTGTCCGTTCTGGGCTACTGTAGAAGAGGATCCGCTCGTTCTAAGGTAGCGAAAACACAACAAACTTGTTTTCAGGTGACGCACACTTTTTAAAAAAACTTTTTCTTAACTTATTTTTGGTCGAAATGTTCAGAAATGGTTAAAAACTCGGAGCCGGTTCCCTGTTGGTGGTTTTAGTGACTTTATGACGGGTTTAATGTGGTCGTATTTCTTACGAGTGAGGATAAAGCTCCAGTATTTAACATTCAGGAGGATCGATGGGCAGAAATATAATATCCACCGTATGTTTTTATATACTTTTCTATAAATCACCTGACAATAAGAATCATTGTGTTTCTGTTACCTTAGAATGAAACGCGTCTGCCATGTTTCTACACTAGCTTTACTTTAGCTTCCTACATCGATTTTGGATAAACTCAAAGGGTGAGTAATCTTTCACTAAAGTGTTTTTAAAGCAGTGGCTCTCAACCTGGGGGTCGGGGCCCCCACTAGGGGTTGCTGAAGCTTCACAGAGGGTCACGAGGCCTTCTTGATTTCAAAGCGTGCTAGAAAACTTGACAGTAGGCCGATATCTCAGCATTTGGTTCATTTCAAGTAAAGGAAATTGTCTAACAGAACAATGGCATCAGGGACAAGAAAACACTTCATTTGACAAAAAAGAAGGTTATTAAGTTTGTTAAAATTATAAAAATACAGAATACAGACAGATAATTGTACAAAAAGTTCCATAAACTGGAAATAATCTGCTCAAAATTCCTCCAAATCTCTGGTTTCACACAAACTTCCTGCAGTTACTGAGTTCAATAATATGAAATAACTGAGTCAGTTTAATAAATAATAGAAAGGGCTCCTTTAAGTAAGAAGGTTAGGAACCAGAGGTTTTAATGTATGTAGATGTTAATCTGGTGTTGAAATCGCTGTGTCGTAAACACCAGAAAATATTGTGAAATAATTTGTTTGTTCAGAAATATGAAACTGGATTCTGTGTTTCAGCTCCCGGTCCGTCCACCGGGGGGAGCAGCTGGACACAAACTGTTTAAACATGTTCTCCAAAAACCTTTCTATGACTCTTAATGAACTTCAGCAGGTTTGTAAAAGAGAGAAACTGCTTTCACCAATAACATCCGACCCACTGATTAATACAGACATACTCAGAGCTTCAGTTTGTGACACGGTGAGCAGGCCGGGGTCTCGGTGGAGCTGAGAAATGATTATTATTAGTAGTAGCAGTAGTAAAGCTGCTGTGCACTCGGTCTATACATAGCGCCGCACTGAAACCTGAAGCTCGTGAAACCAACCGACACTCGTCACAACACGCTGCCCGTCAAACACAACTTCATCTGCGTGTACCATCGTAAAAACCATTCACACAGATTACGTTCAAACTCGTCACATAAAAACATTCCACACCAGCTGCCTGCACTTCCCTCCAGGACATCCAGGACCTCCAGCATCCTGCAGGTCCTCTAGGACCTCCAGGATCCTCCAGGACCTCCAGGACCTCCAGGATCCTCCAGGGTGTGTAAAAACTTCAGGTTATCTTATTAACTTCTTTTTAAAATACAAGCATATGAAACTATCGGTATCGGCCACGAGGAACAGGTAATTATCAGTCATCATATTGGCTAAAATCCATATTGTGAATCCCCAATAAACAGGATAAACATGAACACTGTATATTAGTATTATTATTGATCACTACACTGACAGAGCTTCAGTCTCTAATCAACAGCCTCGTCCTGCAGTAGGAAACAACCAAACACACTGAATCTGTCACAAAAGAAGCCTGTTAAGTCTGTTTGATTGTTAAAAAATTATAAAAATACATAATACAGACAGAGAATTGTATAAAATATGATCTCTGATCAATATTCACATCCAAATCTGATTTGACACAAACTTCCTGCAGTTATTGAGTCACTGTTTGGTTTCATCGTTCAGTTTATCTGCTGTTATTGTTAAAATAATATGAAAGATACAGGAAATATAACACCTGTAGTGTTTTTCTACCAAATCAGTTCTGGTTCTCGAACCGGTTTCGTTCAGTTTTTAGAGTGCAACCACCAACAGAGGGCGCTGCACAACGCACCCCCACCTGTAGCATAAGACACGCCCACTTTGGTTCCCAAGGAAAACCCGTCTGCATCTTTAGACTTTATCACCACTAGTGGGCAGCAGCAGTAACGTGACAGTGTGATAAACCGCCGCAGTCTCACTGGTTTTACCGGCGTTTTATCGGAACCGGCTCCGTTCGGTTCGGGTCCACTCAAGAATCCTGAACACCTAAAGAGTTAATAATAAAAACAACCAAAGTGTCATATTCTACAGGTGGTTGTGCA